ACTTAAAATTTACTTATTTAAATAATTTTGTAATTGAAATTTGAAATTAAAAAAAGAAATTTTAAATTTAAAAAAAGTGTGATGAAATAAGGGAGGATGAAGAAGAAAGTTTTTTTTTCTTAAATCGTAAATTTTGTTAACGTTTTGAATTATATATTTTTTCTTGAAAATAGTTTTAAAAGTAGAAACATTCTATTGCAAACATCCAAGCAGTGATTGCAAATTGCAAGTTAAAATAAAAATTATAAAAAATTTAAATTAAATTTAATAAATTATTTTACTTCTGTTCGAAAAAATTTTTTTCTAAAAAGATAATTTAAGCATATTCTTATACTTAATATAATTTGATTTATAAACAAAATTTTTTGTTTCACTTTTTTTTAGAAAACAATTAGAATAAAAAAAATTGAATAAAAACATCAGTTTAAAAACCATTTGAATAAAAAACTTAATTATACTTAAATTTTTAATAGTACGCTTGATCAGGAAACGATAATTTATAAAAAACGTGGTATCTAATGTTTTTTTGCTTTGATCTTACTCGTTTGGTCTATAAATTATAAACTCATATAGGTCTATAGGCGCAAATATGATGTTTTGTTTTAGTTTATTAATGAGATCAATTATATTTACTTGCTTCCTTTTATTTTAAACGCGTTTTATTTTATAAACTGTATAAATCAACACAAAACAGCGTCACAAATTTATTTTACATTAACCCAAGCTCTTTATATTTTTAAAACGCTTTGCAGTTTGTTTTAATGTTGTTTTATAGCTTTTAACAATTAAATACTTTTTAAAATTAACACGTGTTTTAACACCAGCATAAATGTATTAAATAGTTTTCTTTGACTAATTAAATTGGTTTAGATAATGTAATGTTGCTTTTTCTCTTACTTTTTTACTTTTACTTTTTTAAGTATCATTTTAAGTAAAAATATACTTAAAGAAAAATCTTAATAGTATTAAAAACGTTTTTGCTTATTATAACTGCAACTTAATAACTTAAGTTGTAAATAATTACAGTAAATTACGCTATTTTAAACTCTGCTAAACAAGAAAATTATAAGATTATATTAAAATATGAGAGATAATATGTTAAAAATAGAACTATTACGTACAAAAGTTACAACTATATACTAATGCAACTCCCCCCCTCCCATTACCGCAAAGCAACGCAACACATTGAAAATTTGAAAGTAGAGCAGCCGTGGCGCAGTGGTTAGAGTTCTGGCTCAGAATCCAGAGGTCCGAGGTTCGACGCCAGCTCTAGCCCAACAAGCGACATTGGTACGGAAGAAGGCGTGAACTTCCCGTTAAATGCTCTCCCGCAGTGCTCTATGATAAGACCGTAAGGACTTCTGGGAGCACTTAAATACATACAAAAAATATAAGGGAGCACGGGGTGGGGTGGGGGGTGGGGAGAAAAAACGAAGCTTTTGCATTGAAAAGTTTAATTATTTTGGTTTATTTTTATTATTATTAGTTAATAAAATATTGCAAGAAGTTAAAAAGCTAATTTTATATTTAAATTTTATATCTTATCTTGGAAACATTTGGAAACCAGGAAAGGAGGGTTCAAAGTTCTTGAGCACATTAATACTTCTGAAGTTTTTTTAAAAAAGCCCTTGCTTTTAACTTGAACTCGAAAATTACCTACAAGAAGAAGCTTAAATAATGCCTTATGCTTCCTAATAAGATGTTATAAAATAAAATAAAAAAAACAATAAAATTAATTTTTTTTTAATTAAAATAGTTTTATAGGATTTCTAACAAAAATAGGATTTCAAACACAAACTATTACAGAAGCAATTCTTCCAATATGCTATTGCATATTGGAAGTCAGTTATTAGCTTCTATATCTTCCAAAATAAAAGTATTTTATTATTTTTTAGTAGAAACTTACAATCTGGACACATCCATTTCTTCTTTGGTTTATTATTTAACTTTAAACATTTTAAATGAAACAATTTTCTCAAACAATCAATGTTATTACATGGAAACAGTTTGCAATTTTCTTTTCCATTGCAATAACAATTTTGCATATTTATATTTAAATGTATTTTTTCTTCATCTAACTTTTGTGTGAAATACTTAGCCACTAGTTCTGGGAGTATTACACATTTAAACTTTATTTCACATTCTATAATAATATCTTGCCACAACTTTTTATCAGAAAAAATGCACTCTATGTGGTAATTATTTTCTGTGTAAATAAAGAAATTACAATACTTTTTTTTGCTTAAGTTTATCTGAGTTTGAGTTTGATAATAATATGGATAATTTCTTGATAACTTTGTAACACCATCAGTATTTTGTAAACAAAGGTTTTTGTTTTTTTCAACAGCTTCAAAAATAAAATCATCTTTATGTTTAAATGAGCATTTTATTTCAATACACCCATTACCACAGCAAGAGTAATAAAAAATTGCATCAGGTGATGCTCCCATATAAAAATACTCAGTAGACAAAAACAAACCACAATCCAAAATCTTTCAATTTTCATGATGGGCACCAACAGCATCTGTGTAAATACTTAATGCTTTTTTCTCATGAACATTCCTGTAGCTTGTAGCTTGTGTTGAAAAGCTATTAATGACAGGATAGCAAATTTTTTTAATCAAAGATGTTTGTTTATTCTGATTAGAATGCATTACATTGTAAACATTTGTTGCACTAATTCTGCCAGCATGACATGAAAACCAATTTTTTGATAGAGCTTGCTTTCTTGTTAATTCCTCAATAGCTATTTGCTGTTCATCAGTAACTTGACTAAATTAAATGTTTTCACAGTGTTGACAAAACTCAAAGTAACTAATATTTAATATATTTGTATCATTAAATATCAGATAAAATTTTTGGTAATAAGTTAGAATGTTGTTTTGGAATATAAATATTGTCATATGGAGGTATTATAGATAAAATGCAGGTTTAGAATTGCACAGACTCAGTTGCTTATAAAATATGTTGACTTGTTTTTGTGAAGGTCCTTTATACTTTTCTAAACATGACTGTTTACTCTTTTTATCAACAGCAGGTTCACTAGAAGTTGCATAGTTTTCTTTAAGTTTGTCATTAATCTTTCTTTTAAGAGTATCTGATGAAGTAAAGTTTATATCAACCACTTCAGCACAAGGTACTGATTTCAATGAAGCAGGCAACATCCAATAGGCCTTTTCCTCAGTGACAGTTTTAGAGTCTCTAATTCAGACAGTTACACCAATAAAAAATAAAATAGTTCCAATTTAATTTTTTATATTATTAATATATTATATCTAATATAAATAATATATATAATTAGATATAAATAATATTAAATCTAAAAGCTACATTACTTTTGCAAAAATTTATCAAAACAGGTTATGAAGATAATATGAAAGTCAAAATATTATATGAAGGCTTCGTATACTACTTTGGTTTTCATATAACATTCATTGAAGGTTTCAATGAATCTATACAAACGATAAATAAGAAAGATAAGTAAAATTAAATCATCTTTCCGTGAACCAAGCATATGGATTCATTACAGAAAAGTTTAACACCAATATCTCTTACCCAACCACTCAAAAAATGTTTATAAGCATCTAAACTTTTAAAGCATTTAAGTTCTTCTTTGGTGACAGGGCTTGGTGCAAACAATAAATATGTAAGAATATCAGCATGGGTGATTTTAGGATAAAACTGTGACTCAGAAAGATAATCTGCCTTTTTTAAGGTATATGGATCAACATTGTCTATTGTTGAGATCTTGGTTTTATATTGACTTTTATTTTGGTTTGACAAAAGTTTGTAATAATTTTTCTTACATGTTATGATTTGTTTGTGAACCAACATGGCAGATTTGCTTAATTTAACATAAATTAAATTTTCACTCAGAAAACAGAATAAAGTTTAAACCCCCTCATTTTGGGGGTTGCAAATTTTATATTGTTGTATTTATAAACGCTGTGAGATAATACTATGAAACTTAAAATTTATCGATGAATTCAAGTCTAGTTTAAAAGTTTTGGGCGGGGGGGGGGGCTAAAACTTTGGGGCTTTTTTGTTCTTAAACTCTAATCATCATAATTTTTTGCAAAGCATCCTTATCTGACATAAATATAAACATATAAACCCCCAGCATTAGTTTCAAAGACCAAATAATGTTGGCAGCGCCCCTGGTCATTATGTTCTCCTGACTCATATAACCTACAACTTTTAAAATCTTCTGTTAACCATTTCCTTGCACTTAAATTTTATTATTTGTTCTCTACAAATCCTTGATTATAACAATAGTTTTATTAGTAACAGTTAAGTACTTAATTTAAGTATTTATAAATATATTATAACAGCATTGAATAACAAATTTAATAGCATTAGTAAGATCAGTTAATATGAAATTACTTGTTTATTTTGTTACTTTGAATCATTTTAAATGCATTAAAAGACATTAAATACAAATTTATATTTTTACAGTGAAGCTAAAAACTCTGTATCCAGATCACATAAAGTGAATGTTGCAATCATAATAAAAATAATAAAGTATAATAATAATGTAGTAAACAGAATGATAGCCTACAGCTTTTAAAAATAATGTAATCATGATAAAACTTATCAATTTGCGTCAAAATAACAAAATTAAGTGTAAAAAACAATTATGAGGTGAATTAAATAAGTGTGCCAAACTTACATTTAATTTGATGTAGAAACTCTGAGATTTACAAAGAACAAGAAAAAGGTGCAACATAGATTTATTCTAATCAATAATAACTAATATTTATTGTACAAAGATTTAAAAAAAATTATTTAGAACTATCGATGTTGTAGGTTAGAAATAAAATTTCTTGTTGTAATATAATTTTTTTTACAAAGATATTAAAATAACTTTTTTTTTTATTTTTCTTGTAAATGTTCTAATAAGTAATATGAAACTAAGGTACAGAAAGGTTAGATTGTTAAAACATCATAACCCTTATATAACACACATATTTCTTCATTAAATTATGTATATACTTACTAACCTGTATTGCAGAATCCAAATTATCATAACTAGATTGTTTGTAATAGATATGTTGATTTTGAAGGTGACCCAAATTTTCATCACTATTTTCTTTTGTACTTGGCATTATTAGAAGCCAATAAAATAAAGCAAAGAAAAAAATCATTCCAAAAATCAGTCGCAAGTCAAATCTAATCATTTTTTCTAAGATAAAAAGCATATACTGAAAAAATGTGTTATTATAATATATTGTATTATTACATTTGCTTCATTATATCCTTGATAAATACATTTTTTAATTGGTATCTTTTTTATTCAATGAGAGAATTTTATTTTCAATTCCCTCTGCTAAATTTGTTTAAAAAATTTCTTAAAATAAGCAACTACTTAATCATTACATTTAATTGCTTCTTTTTAACTGCATTTTGGGTAGTATCCAATAAAAACAAAAAAACTATAGTTAACTTCCTAATTTTTTTAAAAACTTTGCTCTGAACATTGATTAAGTTTGTTGTCTTATTTCTGGGAACATTAATGTTTATTGCAGTTTTTAATAAACATAATTTTTTTATCAATTTCCTTTTATTGAGCTTACAAAGTCTAGGTATGCGATAAAAAGATATCAAACTTGTGTGGTATGAAATTCTAAAATATCATTAGAAGCAGCTTTTAATAACTAAAAAAATGAGGCCATTCTTTTTATTTTTTAATTTCATTCAAGAAAGTGATAAGTATTTTAATGAAATTAAAAAATAATAATTACTTATAGTCTGGACGCTACGTGTAACTTTTTCTTGGAAATGAAGTGGACATTACAAAAACTACTTAAATAGTTTAACATTGATATCTTGAATGAGAAAAACTTTACGTGCCTTTCTGAAAGTGCTTAAAGGGTCACATTTGGGCCCTTATTTGGTACTGATGACGTCATTTTAACATTTTTTCAAAAAATCAAACTAAAAAAAATATATTTTCGTCAAAAGTTAGATAAACTCTTGAGAAAACCTTATAATAAATAATAAAATCTCGAAAAAAACTTACGCGTCTTTCTGAAAGTGCATTAAGAGTCACATTTGGGGCATTATTTGGTACTGATGACGTCACGCTAGTCTATTAAACTAAAAAATATATATTTACGTCAAACGTTAGATAATCTCTTGAGAAAACCTTATAGTAAATAATAAAACCTTTAGAAAAACTTACAAGCAATTCTAATAGTGCTTAAATCGGGCCCTTGTTTGGTACCGATGACGTCACGATGATAATTTTTTCAAATTTCGCTAAAAAAAAATTTAGTGAACAGATTTTTAAAAAGGAAAATTCGAATCAGTTGAACAATATTTTGTCTAGGTGTCGTCTCAATCATTTGTGTTTTCACAAGACGAGCAGTTGCGTACAAGTCAATCCATGCAATCAACCCGTGTTTCACATTTTGACTTTTTACACGAATAGGAATTAACAGGTCTAATGTGCATCAATTTAACCTCAAGTTGATTGCCAATATCTCGCCATCCATATCCATTGCAATGGATATGGATGGCGAGATATTGGCAATCAACTTGAGGTTAAATTGATGCACATTAGACCTGTTAATTCCAATTCGTGTAAAAAGTCAAAATGTGAATTCCATAACCCAATTGGGTTTTGGAATATTGAGATTTGCCTCCACTGATTGTTTGACAATTGCTGTTTGATACAAAACTCTCTTGCAATGACACATAAGAGCATCCCTAGTTGGCAGAAACTTTTAAGGTTCCGTAGCTTCTTTCTTGGCAATAAACTTAAGGTATCTTCCTTCGTTCGTATCACTGCATTATAATTTTTATAACTGACATATAAACTTTTTGATTTGGTCAAAATGGGTTACATCAAAGGTATGAGTCCCCAACCTTGGAAAAATTGACTTGTGCTCTTCAGACTGTCTCATTAGTTTGAGGAACTTTGACTTACCAATCCCGTAAAATGCACTTGTATAATTGTTCCCGTTAAATGCATGAAGACCAAGATGAGCTTTACAACAATCAGTACCTAACTGTGAGGCAATAAGACTTATATCAAGAGTCTGTCTTTCAGTAGAGACGCCAATATCCACAAATAATTCTATTTGAAGTTGGTTTTGAAAGTACAAAGCGTAAATAGCAATATCTGTGTCAACCGTGTGAATGCAAACGGTTTCGAAACCAATAGATGCATTATATATAGGCAATTTAAAGTATGTTTTTTTAAAGACAAAACCTCGCTGCGAATCTTTTGTGCGACATGATGGATAAGCTGTTCAATCAGTTTTGGATTATTTTCCCTTTCTTAATGGTATTGTTGCATAAAAAAGAATACCCTATTTTGGTGACCGCAACTGAACAGACCCGCAAGTTCTGCAACTACAGCATCCTGCAAAGTCCTTTTATCTAGAATCTCTATCTGTGCAGTTTTCCTTCTAAAATTCAAATAGCTTACTTGTATGAGTAATCTTTAAATTGTCTAATACGTGTTCTGTCACATAGTCGAAGAGAAAACGCATAATTGCATCTTCTGTTAAAATAAAAGGAACTTTTTGGGGTCTTGTATAGTTAAGGTAACAAGTCCAATGATAATATAACTCTAAGGAAACTATGTTTTGCCCAATATACTAGCTGGGTTTTCAGCTTTACTTAAGCGTTTTTTTATAACATGTTTGCTGCACTTTCTGTTACAAATTTTTGCCCAATAGGCACGACGTAAAAAAGACGTTTTTAAACGTCTTATACTCGTTTTGGACCTCTTTTGAACGTCTTTTGAACGTTAAAAAGACGTCTTTTTTAGGTCCGGTGCCCATTGGGTGAAAGCGTTTTATATCCGTTCCTATATTTATTAGTCTTTTTGCAATAGCAAATGCAACACTGTCATCCGCAATAATTTTTCATGAAACAAAGGAATTATTTTAATTTTGAAGTAGTACATAAAACATAAAAAAAACGTAAAAACTGAGGGCAATATTCTTTGCTTTGTAATTCACACTAAAAGGATTTTTAATTTACCTGATCAATCTCTTTTCCGAGCTGAGATTCTACGCTTAAATGAGGATGCATTATCCACGCCTACACCCTCGTTGACATTTTGTGCTCTATTTTTCCGATGTTATAAAATGTTTAATGTTTTTATATTCACATACTTATCGTAACATCTTTGATGAAATAAGAAAGTTGTTGGGCACGTATTAGCAGGTCCGTATCCAGCATTATTTGGTCTTCGAGATTATTGACTATACAATGTTTAAACCCCCCTCAATTTGAGGGGGTCGCAAATTTTATATTGTTATAATTATTGAACGCTGAAATATTTTACTATGAAATTTAAAAATTATTGATAAATATAAGTCTGGTTAAAAATAGTACAAAAATATTTCATCAACTTGTTGCACTCATGTTTAGGGCAGGAGAAGCACAAATTTTGGGGCTTTTTTGTTCCCAAGCTCCAATTATCGCAGTTTTTTGCAAAGCATCCTTATTTGACATATAAATGTTTGGAGTTTGCTTCATGTCTAAAAGTTAGATATCTCGAAGACCAAAAAATGCTGGATACGGACCTGAATTTCAGGTAGAATGTTTATGATTTTAAAGTCATTTCGAATTTGACGATAGTAAAAAAAAAATATTATTATCAAATTTACGCTATTTATTGTTTTTTCCGTACCATTGCTTAAGGCATATATAAAAAAATAAACTGAGTTGTACATTTAGTTTGTGACTTACCAAGCATTGTAAGTCACAATGCTTGGTTTGCAAGTCACAATCCACAAGTCTTCACTTTCGCAAGCGCATTTTCAGTAAAACCACGCAATTTGTTATTATTACGACCAACTTCACCATGATGAAGTATACAAGCATTTTTAATTTATTTTTTAGGAACCAGATTAAAATGCTGCTACTCGCCATTATTTAGTTTAATAATAATAAATAAATAAAAATAAAACACGTTTTTTTAGTTTTATGTTTTATATTTTTGCATTAACCGTTTCTTTTAAAATGATTACAGTTTGTTATGCAAATATTTTGTTTTATTAATAAAAATGACTTTGATTTTTTTCTTTTATTTATGACGGTAATTCTTTACTTTTAAAAAGAACTTCGATAAAAGCTGCACAACAAACCTATTGGAAACACTTGATATCATAACAGATGCACTAGAAAATGGCCACTCAGTTGATGTGTTGTATCTAGACTTTGAAAAGGCTTTTGATAAAGTACCACACTCGCGTTTGATCACTAAACTTCAATCATATGGTATTGTGAGAAATTATCTGGAATGGATAGAGAACTTTTTAACTAACAGAAAACAGAGAGTGGTCCTTGGCGACACTGTCTCAAATTGGCTACCAGTTATTAGTGGTGTACCACAGGGGTCAGTTTTAGGACCACTGCTGTTTTTGATTTTTATTATAATAAAAATCAGTTTAATAGATTTTATAATAAAGTTTAATAGGGTTTTTGACTTGATCTGGCAAATCATTAATATTAATGATTTGCCAGATCAAGTCAAAAACCCTATTAAACTTTACGCTGATGATAGTAAAATAATAAATATTATAAAAAATCCAAATGATTCAATAAGCCTTCAAAATGATATAAAAAATATAATGGCATGGTCATCTATTTGGCTCACAAAATTTAATTATGAAAAATGCAAAGTTATGCATATTGGGAAAAAAAATCCAAATGCTACAATTATAATGACTGATATTGATTATTACAATTATACATTGTGTAACACAAAAGCTGAACGTGATTTGGGTATAATGGTTCAATCCGATTTAAAATGGCACTCACAAGTTGATTCAGCAACCAGCAAAGGAAACAGAATGTTAGGTACCATAAAGAGAAGCTTTAAATATTTAGATGTAAACATGGTAAAAATGCTCTATACAACGTTCATACGTCCACATCTTGAGTTTGCGGTCCAGGCATGGTCTCCATTTTTAAAACAAGACATTGACAAGATTGAGAAAATCCAAAAAAGAGCAACCAAACTAGCACCTACAATTAGGAAATTATCATATGAGGCTAGGTTGAATATTATGCAATTAGTTAGTTAGTTTAGTTTATTAGTTTATTTCGCCGTTAAAAATATTTACAAAGTACAACAATATAAAAAGTACAATTGGCTGGAGCAAGAAGAAGGCATAAAATAGCCTTATCACCGAGCCCCAATAGTTACGCAAATAAATATCCGTAATACACAATAATCCGTAATATATAAGCAAAAGTATTTTAAAAAAGACAATTTAAAATGTTAAGAAACAAAGTTAAAAAGAAGAAAAAAAAAAAAAAAAAAAAAAAAAAGTATTAATATAATTAAAAAAAAATAATAATAAAAAGAAATGATTAAAATATAGTAATAAAAATGACAAAAATTTTCTGTTTTTGGTTATAAATTAGATGTGATTCGATATATATATATATTTGTATATATTATTTTCTTTCAAAATAGTTCAAAATTCAGATAAAAATTCTGTTCCAATATTATAAAATATATCAAGAAAATTGTAGGTAACTTTAAGAGAATATATATATTCAATGAAAGTATGATAAAGACATTGAAATTCTTAGTACTGTTAAATGGTCTAGATTTTTAAATTTATGGTGCTAATTTAGTTTAATAAATTTGAAAGCTTTAAAAGTGACATAGAAGATCTGCTATATTAAAATCCGTAAGTACTAAATAACGTCTTAATTTAGATTTGAATTGCGGAAGTTTTTTTTCTTTAATATTAACAATATGCTGAAAGTTTTTCCACAAAATTGGACCCCTGTACTGAATTGAATAAGAACATAACTTTAGATTATACTTTTGAGTTACAAAGTTATTTTCTGAGAACTTGGTGGGGTATTTATGGCTTACTTCTCTAAAATAAGGATAGAATATCGCTGGAGACAGTCCATGTTTTATTTGATACATGAACTGTATGACGAGGAATATGTTAATTTTAAACACATTTAATGCATTGAGTTTACGTAAAAGTGGCTCACAAGGCACAGTTCTTTTAACTCCAAATACAATTCTACATGCATGTTTTTGTTTAGTATAAATTTTCTTTAACTTAGCGTAGCTGTTGCTTGCCCATACGATATTGCCGTAAGTTAGATAGCTATGTATGAAGGAAAAATATAAACTTTTTAGAGATCT